GCCCTTGGGGCTCGAGCCCGCCCCTTCGGGACCGCCATGGGCAGGGGCGGAGCGGCCCCCAGCGCGCGCCCTCGGGTCTGGGCCGAGCGGCGGGAAGGCCCCGCAGGTGCGCACCTGGGCCCGGCCGCCCTGAGGACCTGACCGGTGTGGGCTGCGGAGGTGCTGCCTCCGGATTCCCATTTTTTTTATAAAGAATTCTCACCAATAAAACGTCATCTGAATCACATGAAGCTTCTGGACATAACTGCTGGTTTACAGGACGCACCACAGGTAGAGGGCTGGCGGCCTGGGGGACAGACCCCACCGTGGGGACCGATACGGGTGCTGGGCCTGGAATTGGAGGGAAGGGGGTGGGGTGATAGTCTACAGAAGGCAGTGGAGACAAGGCTGAGGCCAGGGGGCTGGTTTAGGACCCAGCAGCTCCTAGACCTGCAAGGCTGCAGACCCCCTCCCCGTGTGGGGTCGCCCACCACCCTTCCACAGCCTCCAGGTGAATCACCAGCAAGCTTTCCTGAGCTCTCGGGTCGCACAGCCCTGTCCTGGGACTCACACACACAGGGCCCCCCCCCCAGTGCCTGCAGCACACTGATTCCAGGGCTCCTGGGTGCCATCTGCTGGATTCTTGGGGCTGCTCCAAGAGCCCCCTCCCCAGGGGCATGGAGGTCACACTGTCCTTGAGCTCCCCCCGCCCTGGTGTCCCTGAGCCCCAGAACCAAGGCCCATATTTCTGTTTCTTTTTAAAACTATTCCAGAATTAGCCCAACTTAGCCCAAGTAGTGAACCCACAAGGTCTCTAAGACGTTAGCATCCATCTCAGTGACACGGTCCCTGGGTAGCTTTGGAGGAGCAGCCGGCCCTGTTCAAGGGCTGGGGGCTGTTGGGCAGCCACGTTTCACAGCAGCTATTGGAATTGACCAGAAAGTGGTCACATGACCCCCCTCCTCCTGCTGGTGGTGAGGGAGACACACAGATTGCAGAGGCTGGAGGGAGGGGTGGGCCAGGAAACAGCCTGTCTGACCTCTGCCCAGACCTTACAGCTCATGCCCAGTGGGTGTGTCCAGCCCGAAGCTTGGACTTTTCTCCCTGACCCTCCCTCCCTCCCTCCCTATCCACTCTCACCTCTGACAGCTTCCAGCATCTCCACTGGGCACACCTATTCCAGGCCCTCGCAGAACTGTCCTGCCACCCTTTCAAACTCCCATCCACGGTAGCAGATGAAGCCACCACTGTCTCATCCCCAGGGCCACTGCAGGCTTGCTCTGCTGACCGGCTAGGCATACCCCAAACACCAGCCTGAGCTCTTGGGGCCTCCCAAGATACCCAGAGGCATGTTCTGGCATGAGCAGTGTCCAGGCACCTGTGCCTCTTCCCCCACACCCAGGGTTCAGGAGGAATCAGCTCGACCTCAGAAAATCCCACTCCTTTTCTTACTCATTTCTAGTTGGCAGGCTACCCAGTGCACAGAAATTACAATAAAAAGTAAAAAACAACGTGTGAGGCCTCAAAGCCAAGGCAGCTGTGGTTCCTCCCAGGCCCCACATGGCCCCTCAGCAGGGTCTGGAGCTGGAGCCCACCCCCGTCCCCAGAAGGGAAGCCAGGTGCACACACCGGACAAAGCGATGAAGGCCCTGGGCTCTCATGGGTCACCTGCTAGGTCCACCTGCCTAAGGCTCCAGGGGCCAGGGGGCCACTGTCAGCTTTTCTGCTCCTTGAAAACAACACAAAGTATCATGAAAACCCAACATGCACGGGCTCTGGCAAGGACACCGAGCCGTGCAGACCCAGGGGAAGTGGCGCCCAGAACACTGCCGTTTGCACAGAGGCCTCCCTGCCCCGGCCCCCCGCCCCCACTGTGTTCTCGCCGCAAGCCTGGCACTGAGGGCCAAGGAGCCCCCACAGCAGCTGACTGCCCGTGGAGTCTTGGGTGCAGGTTTAGTTACGGGTCTGTTCCTTCATGACCCCCGGTGATGGCTGTTTGTTGTACAGGGTCCTGCACCACCTTCCTTCAGGTGTCTCACTTCAACCCCCACTTCACCAACCACCCGAGTGGTGTCCTTTCTTAAATCTCACAATTATGTGGGGCGCCAAGGAGAGCATGGAACAGAGCCATGTGACGGGCAGGGGGTACACTCGGGCTGCTCTCTGACGCCTGAGGACGGCATTGCCGTCCCACCCCAGGCCTCTCAGGCCACAGTGTTTGTGGGTCAAGAAAGGTGTTTATTAAGATTTTCTACAACACCCGGAACGGAGACAAGTGGAATGTGGAGTAACGAGGTCTGCGGCCAGGGCTGGTCCCACAGCCGTGAGCTGGGACAGGTCAGCACTAGATGGCACCACCCTCACTCGGCCCCCACAGCTGCATGGACCCACTGTTTCAGAACACGGAGGGGTGGTCACGAGGAGTCCAGTGGTGGCCGCAGTGAGCTTGGTCACCTGGACAAGAGCTGCGTCCATGATGGCAGAGCCCACTCTGGGAAAGGATGCAGTGAGACAGCTTCCAGACTGCCACTTAAGCATGACTCGGCACCCACTGAGCGCCAGGGTCACCGCGGCCCAGCCACGGCTGCGTGAGACCAACTGACCGGGAGGATGGCAGCCACGTGCGAGCGCTCAGGCCTCCTCTAGGGCCCCGGGCAACTGCTTGATCTGGCGGCTGTGGACCACACGCAAGGCACCCCCTGCCGCCTGGCGGAGCTGGGTGTCCAGGGCACTGCGGAGGTCATTGACCTGCACGTCGGACAGGGGATCGAAGCTGATGATGACGCCCTCGTTGGGGGCCGGCTCCCCGTCTGCGTGAGGAGCCACGTGCCGACGTCTCCTCCTCAGGTCAGCGCCCACCTGAACTTTCAGGTCCCGGTTCAGTTTGGAGTTGTCCGGCTTCTGCGCCCCAGGCATGGCCTGTTTGGGCCCGAGCTCAGGGTCTGGCCTCTGCTCGGGCTCTTGGATGGCGGCGTTCTCCATGGGAGCAGGCGCATGCTCCCCGCCCACGTGGTCCCCACCAGGGGCGTCCTTTCTTGCCTCTGGGTAACCTCCCTGACCCCTGGCAGAGACGGCTGGGAGTTCCGGCTGATGTAACACAGCCTGGGCCAGAGGGGCTGCTCCTCCCAACCTGCTAGGCAGGCCTGCAGGTCTCCGGTCTTGGCTCACTTGCTGGGGCTTCACGTGAGGGTCCCCG